ATAAAATACACTGTTGAATTGATTCTATCTTGCTGATTCAGAGTGCACTCAAAATACATCGACCAGTCCTTACCCAAATCGGTTGTGTCTCATTTGTAAGCTCCCAATCCCAATATCTCTCAACAACCTTCTTGGTCTTCTTCTTTTTCTGTTACAAGAAAAATAGTCCCCAACTCTAAGCCAACTTTTCTTACACATCTAGCTATCTTCTGATGCTGATCAAGGTATTTCTCAGAACAGACAAAGAGAAGCAGGTGTACCTCAGTTTGGTCATCTTGGTCATCTTTTTTTGTTTCAGTTGGATCATCTTCAACCTCAACCTGCAAAAGAGAGAGCCAAATATACAAAGCCAGGTAATAAGATAAGAATATTAGTTGCATCTGACACAAAAGTACATATGTTTAAGCTCAGATATCTGCCAACTCTGGTGATCATACCTCTTTTGTGTATCCTTTTTCCTGCCACGTGTAAATAGGGAAAGAAACAAATTGGGAATAGTTTTTCACGAGCTTCTGAATCCGCTCAGGATCTGCAAAGTTTTTGGCTTCTTGCTGTATTGGGGAAGAAATAATAGAGAAAATTTAGGATGTCAGGTCTTCTGAAGGAACAAATACTCAGGGTTGATCTACAAATTAAATATCAAAGCATAACGAACCTTCAGATGCAAAGTAATACGAGTTCCTCTAGGAATGAGAGACTGTGGATCAGTATCTTCCTGAATGGTAAAACTGCTTGAATTTGCTTCTCCTTCCCATACATACTGCTTTTCAGACTTAGGGCTCTTGGTTGACACAATTACCTTCAAAAGATAGATAGATGTGGATTACCGTATTGAGTTGGTGGAGAGGTGAGTATATCAATAAAGGAATCAACAGACATCACAACGTAAGAACTTACCCGATCTGCAACCAAAAATGCTGAATAGAATCCCACACCAAATTGACCAATTAAATTGTTGTCACCACCTGCATCCTTGCTATCCTGAAATTGTTACAACTATGCTTAGCTGATCCAGTGATTCCACGAAATTTAAATGGGAAATAAAAGTATCAGAGAAACCAGTAAGACCTTTAGAGCTTTCATGAACTTGGCAGTTCCACTTTGAGCAATAGTCCCAAGACAGTCAACTAATTCTTGCCGTGTCATACCAATACCAGAATCACTAACAAAGTGAAAAAAGCATATTAATTATCTACTTACCATTGCTCACACGAAATCAAAACATTCAAATCAGAAAATAATAAGGCATACGTGAGAGTTATGATTCCATTCTCCTTGTCTGCATAGATACGTATATCAAGATTAGGAGCATCTTTTGAAAGCTCAGGGTTGGTAACGCTCAAATAACGAAGCTTATCCAATGCATCACTTGCATTACTGTTGAACAACAAATCAAGTAAAACATAGATTGCCAACAAAGTAAGTAATGTGGTCGATACACAATGACATTACGAAACCAAAAGGATAGAGAATAAACAGATACCTAATAAGCTCCCGAAGAAACACCTCCTTATTGCTGTATAAGCTGTTAACAATAAGGTCCATGAGGCGACTAACCTGCCATCCGTTTCAAACATTAGTGATACACACAAACTTGGTCACAAAACAAGAAATCAACTAAACACACAAATTGTACTTACTTCAGCTTGATACTCGAATTTCTCAGCCGGTGGAGGAGCTTGCGAGGAAGAGTCTGATGCTGCTGCACTGGATTCGTTCCGGTATCCCATAAACCAATTGGTTTTCATGTTCAATTGAGCCAATGACCCACTTTTCGTAGATTTTCCATTGATTAAAGATGAGTACCATCTCGATTCAGTGTTACTTCTCTTCACATCCTAAGACGAGAAAAATAAACAGTGACACTGTAAAATATCCGATCATAAGAAAGCCAATTGGCGACTAAATCGAGACCCAAATTTAAAGAGTATCGATGTTCAGAGAAAACAAAATCCAAAGCGAGGAATTCGTGAAGGAAATTGAAATGAATACCGTGGCAGATGGGGAAGAGCGGGAGGTGGAAGCTGCGGCGGCGACACGGAAGCTTCGGTTACCGGAGCGTAGGAAGGTAGAGACGGAGCGCTTAGAGAGCCTGATCATAGTCGCAAACTTCTAAAAACTCGGAGAGAAACGAAACGATGGTGGATTTTGATTTCGGTAGCACTGAGCTAAAGAAGAGAGACGAATGGGTTTTAGTAGGGTTTTTTAGCCGAAGGCGAAGCTTCTGGATTGAAGGGCAATTTCGGTATTTAGTAGGTAAGGGTAAAAAATTACTGTTTGGTTTTTCAATTTTTTCATCTTTTCAACAATTTTATTAAATTGGCCCATTAGAAAATCTGTATATTCATTACTGTTAAATTGAAATTCATTTCTCAATTTTCATTCCCCAATTTTGGTCCTTTTGTTTCGGGCTAGAGGGCCCAACAGTACATGAGGGATAAAAGAAAAGGAGGCCCATTTGACCACAAAACTCAAACAACCGCATGATTGATTTCTATAATATTGGATTCGTGATTGTTTTTTCAATTGTAGTTCCCACGGAAGTCCAAGGAAGAGTTGTCGATTCGTTGGAAAGGACGCCGAAGCGTCCTATTCGTGCTTTCAAATATCTATATTGTTTGGATATTGCGCTTACGGTGGTCTGGGTAATGTTGAGATTATTTTGTTTAAGTGAGTTTAAGAGGGGGAAATGGAAACAAAAATAAAATTAGTAAATTCGTGAATGCTTTTTTTTTTTTTTTGTTTTTTTTTTCATACCTCAGCTGCTATTCAGTTAGCTGAATACATTCGAACGTTGGGTGGAGATACAGAAACGGAACACCTTCTCGAAGGGTGATGGAGTCACCACGTGAGGTATGAAATGTCTTAATCGTTTCTAGCATTTGCGAGATGTAATGGTTTTATTTTTTCGTTGGCATTTAAAAACCAATAACTAAACTAGAACAATTGTGGATTTCATGCTTCCACCAGGTGATGAGGTCGAAGGTGCAGAGTTCCAAAACTCGTCAATGAATGAATTCATCCGAAGAAAGGTGTGCCTGCTGTGAACAAAAACATATATCTTATATTATTAATCTATGGATGTGATGTTTCTCTGTGTTAAGTTTTTGTTTATCGGTGGTTTGAACAGAAAATAGTTATGTATTCAGGATGAGTTTGTTGTTGTTTATGTCTCAGCGCTTGATTTCTGCGTTTTTGGATGTTTTTCTTGATACGTGTGTTACCATTACTGTATATGATATCGCATTCATTCGCATACTTCATCGGTGTTTATTTTTGATTCCAATGGAGAAAAACGTGGGAGAATCTCTGAGAAATTTGACATTGAATAGCCAATTGCTAGAGGGTTCTTGATTCCGACCTCTTAGTTTGAAAATTAGAGATTTTGGATTCATCTGAGATTATGTGTTTAGATTAATTGGGTTTGTGTTCTAAAGTTGTTGTTCAGGATGAGTTTGTTGTTTTCTTCTTCTTCTGATGAAATCACATCATGTTATTGAATACGATTCATTTTCATCGCTTATCTTCTTCTGGTGGATATATCAAACCAAATTTTATTTAAAAACAAGAAAATTGAGTTTTTGACTTGATGTAATTAGTCATTTTTGTTTCGGATAGCTGACGAAACAAAACCAAATCCTACTAATTCAAACCAATTCCATAAATTCAATATATAATTTTATGTTGACGGAAAAGAGAAGAGAAAAAAAAAAATCAAAATTGATCAAGGCCCAAAATAGTATTAGGAGAGATAAAAGAAAAGGGCCCATTTGACCACAGAACTCAGGAGACCCATTATTTTAATTAAGAAGACCCATTATTTTTCCCCCTTTCCGAGAGAGAGAGAGAGAAACGAACCCTAATCGCCGATAATGATGCGTCCGCTGATGAATCTGAGACCCGTCGTATCACAGGTTGGGAGATGTATGGGATCTCGCCGCAATGATTTTTGTTCAGCGTCTACTAGTGACAAAGGTAAATTGTTCTCTGATGAATTCTAATGAAATCCGCGAGTTGATTGTGGGATTTTGATTTTTCTTTCGTTTTTCTTTGGTCATCATCATCTGTGATTCTAGAGGTCAAGGTGGGACTTTTCGATTGGGTATTTGTTCGATTTTTACCTCTCTAGTTGGGATATAGCGTTGCAGGTATGGAGAGAGAGATCTTATTTCCTTAATATTTCCTCGACAGACTCAAACTTTATTTTTTATTTTTTAATAATCAGCTTGTTTGTTGATTCATGATTTATTTTGTATCAAGGTCCTCTTGTATTTTATGATACAAAACAACAAAAGTAAAACAAGAACTTGAAATGACACATTGTGTCGTCCATTGCTTATTACTTGATTCTCCTGAGTGTTTTTTTATCTCTTTCTTTCAGAAGTTGAGGGAGATTTATGGGGAATCTACGGAAATCCACGATCTTAGGGATGAGATGTGGTCTGGTCTAGGGAAAAGTGTTTGCTCTCGGGGGGAAAATATTTGGTCCTATCTAAGTGACAATGCTGCAAGGAAGTGGGGTGTTCGAAAACCCTAATGTATCTTCAAGCTTTGTTGTGAGATGACATAATAGATGTTGATTGCATACTTGATATCCAGATTGCACAATTGAAACAAGCAGATATCTTTCAGAAAGTGGAAGAAGAGAACCCTCAGATAGATGAAGAAGAGATCATTAAGAAGACAGGAGGTTCGTGGTTCTCTTGGAAAATCTCCTCAAGTGAAGACTAAGCCAAGAGTTTTAAACTATTTTTGGGAAGTTTTAGTTTCAAGAAGAAGCAAACAAGACAAACACAGTCTTTAAACCAAGTCATACCCAAAAATTTCTAAGAATTGTAAAACAAAAGGTTATCTACATATAATGAACCCATCAAGGATAAACCTAATTAAAACCTTATTGGCTTGTATAAGAAATCGTATTGCTTTAGATTGTGTGCAATGTACAAAATAACCAATATGAAAAGACACCAACACCCAAACGCTATCCCAACAAAAACATGTACCAAAAACACATTATTATTATTGGATCGGATCACGAAAGGGGTGAGTATAAGAAATCCAACCAAAAATGTGATATGTCCAGCTGCGGTTACACGTATCAACGGTTGATTAGACAATATGAACAAGGTTTGGATTAAAGTTGTAGTGAGGATAAGCATGATGAAGCTAATTGTACCATCTAACATGTCGAGAGAGAAACCATATCTATAATAACTCATACAAATTAGCATTGCATATGCGGTGATGAGTATGCGATTTATGATTCTTGTGTACACTTCTTTCCAGATAATTCTGCCATGCCTAGATTAAGACAAAAATATCATAACCAAACTTCATAATGAACTAAATTTTTGTTGTGTGGAATGAAAGAAACTCACATGACGATAAATCTGATTCCTCGTTTGAACATGTCCCCCCTTTCTATAAGATTGATAGACAGGAAAAAATACGGTAGAAGAGTTCTTGTCAAAACTTTATGTTGGTGGCTAAGCTCGAGACTTTTGATAAAGATGATATGTATTACAGTAGTTTGTATATATAATTAAGAGACAACTAAAATTATTATGGATTGTAACTTGTAAGCACTGTCAATAATAAAATAAACAATTAATGGAAAGAGATATAAGATGCAAAAATCTCAAAGATAATTGTTAATTTTAAAGATTTTTACAACTTTACATCACTTTCCATTAATGTTTCTTTTATTTATTCCATAATTTTACTTAGTCTACATATTGATGATAAATCTATCATTATATGATTTTTTTTTTTGGTAAGTATCTATCATCCTTATGATAATACTTTTATGTAATTATCATATTAATGATAAATTCAATTGCAAAAATATTTGTAAGAAATAAATCATTATCTATTTTCTCTTAAAAGATTGTGGTCGCTTCCCATTGTTTGTCACTTTTGTGAAGATAAAAGCGGACTCGATAAGAGATTTCGTCCAAGAGGATAGGATACTCAACGTGCTAATCTCCAAAGAGGAACATGAAATGAGCTATATGCCAAAAGCCTCTACCATCTTTCTCGGAAAATTTGGACCAATAGAATGTTTGAATGGACGCTATTTCTGAAAATGTTAACCACCAATGTTTACTTGAATAATTTTTAACTTTGTGACCTAAGTTATCTTATTAGTGTCCAAAATTATTGGAACATGTTAATTAACTAGATTTGCGGGGCTATAATTTTTTTAAAAAAAATCTAAATATAATTAGTTTTGTTTATTAATAGAGAGTATAATATAATATTTCGACCTATTTTATAAATGTACCATCCATATATCTATATTAATAGTTTTGAGTATATTAATTGTGTTTTAGGTTTAAATGGTATATCTATATATAGTTATATACACTTAAACGACATTTGGCTTTCTTCTTCTTCGTGCCTCAGTTTAAGAGAAAGATTTTTCTTACGGTACACCGAGGAGCTATTATTTTTAAAAAAAGATTTTTCTTCCTTAAACTTCCAAATCTAGATTTTACCCCGCGGTATACCGCGGGTCGATTTTTTTACAACTAAAAAATTATTTTGCAAAATTTTAAGTTGTATTTGTTTTGTTAATATTGTTTATTTTGTTTAGTGTTTCTGATTTTATAATTAAATTTTGATTTTTAATTCTAGGATTTCATCCATCGTATATTGTTTAATATTGTTTAATATTAATATTGATCTAAACCTGTTGCACCATATAACCCCGTCCCGTAAAATTAAACATCATTTGTTATTTTTTTTGAATAATATTTGTATCCACTACTGGTCGCAGGTTCATGCGGATAAGCCCGTAGAGAGTTGCGGATTTGCGGGTCGACCCGCCAAAAGAGAAGCTATCTTTTGAAACTCTTTGTTTTGTTTAGAGGTTTTAAGAAAATATCCCTAAAAAATAATTTTCATTATATGAAAAAAAAAGAAATAGAAGAAATTATAGTATCAACATTCCCGATTTTTACATCACTCGTTACAATTAATTTTTTTTTTTGCAGATAAAAATCAGAAGTTAACTAAGTCGAGATTTTTTAAAAGATTGTGTAGAGATGAGGATAGGATACTCAACGTGCTAATCTCCAAAGAGGAACATGAAATGAGCTATATGCCAAAAGCCTCTACCATATTTCTCGGAAAATTTGGACCAATAGAATGTTTGAATGGACGCTATTTCTGAAAATGTTAACCACCAATGTTTACTTGAATAATTTTTAGCTTTGTGACCTAAGTTATCTTATTAGTGTCCAAAATTATTGGAACATGTTAATTAATTGGGGAGAGCACAATTTCATAAGTTTAGTTTCTTTCTATACTCTCGATATCGCCTAGTAATTTTACATATAATCAAATTACTACTTTGAGATTAGTCACACTATTATTATCTGTCACATAAAATATTGCACAAGCCATAATTAAACATCTGAGAGCAAGCTTTGTATACAGCAAAGTACAAAACGCATAACTATTTTTTTTTCCGCTTGCAAGATTTTACCAAGCCAAACAGCTTTTTGGCTTGAGTTTGTTTCTTCCTAGTGCATGTGCCACGAACAAACCCAAACCAAAAAAAAGGACAAGAAAAGAAGAGAAGAGAGACAAGTACGTACATAAACAGCCAAAGTGTAATGTCAAGATTCAAGCTTGAGAGATACAACACGAGACTGTCGGTTGCGTTTGGCTGCCTTAACAAAGACTACGGATAGACAAGACGGTGCCCACCATGGCCGTCGAACCCTCTGCTCACCTTTCAAGCAAGCCACTGTCAAAAACACATTTCTTTCCTTAGTCAAAATCCTTTAGCAACTTAAGCTGAGCGATAGAGAGAGTACCTTTAATCCTTCTGAGTTCTTTACAGAGGGTAATGAAGTCTCCCCACTTCATGTGATGCCTCCTTATGAAGTGAAGGATCTGCTCGGTTGTAAACACAGACATGCTTTCTAGATATTCTCCATTGACACCATTTTCTTTGAAAATCTGGCGGTAGCCCCCAAGGTTTATCTCCTCGAGCCAAGACCCAACATCCTGAAGAAAAAAGAACAAAGCTTCTCATCTACAAGATGCTCGCTATTACAAAAGAGCAGAACTAAGAAAATCCATAGTAGGATCTGATCAAACAAAACCAATCAGCAACACACAACCTCCAGCTTCTCCATATGAGTGGACTAACTCTATCTACATTTCGTATGAGGCACACGTTTATATCCAGTTTTGATCAGCTTTTTCAGGAGTTTCTATTTGCTAGAAGAGCAAATCAACAAGTGACACATGGGAACATCACTCTACACACCAGTGATACCATTTCCAAGTATAGCTACATCAAGAAACACATGGACTACAACTACAGGGAGAAGTAACATTCTAAACTTGAATAGGTAGAGGTATAGCAAATTTTAGCTTGGATGATGTAATTGCAATCAAAGGTGAGATTTATTCTTGTAACAACAACCAAGAGTACCAAAAGATGTCCTAGTTCTTAAGAATCAATCTGTGTAAGTAGGATCCAACAAGAAGAACAAGCCTAAGGAAAACTAGGGTCATACCTGAAAAAGATCAAATCAACCCTGTTACGGGTTAAAATAAGCTGAATTGGGATCAAAAATAATAAACATGATTCTGCAACAACAAGTCTGATAATGAAGAGCTCAATTCCAAGAAACATGCGAATTGAAGAAGTGATGATCATGAAAGGCTAATACGGATACGAAGAAGGAAGGAAGGATTGATTGGTTGAAATTACCTCAACAGTCCAGATGAAGAAATCAAGGGGCTCAGGAGGATGTTCTCTGGTCATCCTTTCCTCTGCACAAAAGTCACAATACAATTCACCCACAATCATTATTTTACAAAATCGCAAACCATCACATGAATTTCGTGGAATCAAAATCGAAAAACGAAACACGAATTCGGAGAAGAGAAGGGGTACCGAAGCGACAGGTGTGAGATCCGAAATTGAAGGGCTTTGATCTGAGTAATTTCTTGGGGAGAGAGACAGAAGAAGAAGAGGAACGGGATTCAGCCAACTTACAGTGCAAAAATGCGTGAATTTTTAGGGTTTGAGGATGAGAGAGGGACAAATGGGTCCACCAAGTGAAAGTGTGTGCTTTTTCTCTCTCTTTTCTTTTTCTATCTTTCCCACTCCACGCTCCTTCTCCCGCCTCCACGCGCCACCGTGTTCCCGTACCACGACCATTTTTAGGAAATAAATCTTTTTCAGTTTTAATATTTTTAGCAATACATCTTTTACTCTCTAAGTTAACTTTTTTACAGTTAAAACCTTAAGTCGTCGTTATCAATTTGTCTGTCTATTAGTGTATACGGTGAAATCATGGACTAAATATATTTATTTGATCATGTTACAAACTCTCATACTGTATATATTAGTAGGTTTGACTCTTTTTTTCTATAATGAAACAAAAAATGAGCTAGTGGAAAACACTTATTAAGCTTTCTTTTTCAATTAGTTAACCGACTAATTTGCAAATTTACTTTTAAATTGTTTATGCAAGTCTAGTCACAATTAAAATATGGAAACCGATGTTAGATGATGATTAGTAATCAGATATTATTGATAGTCCATCGAAATATTTCGTAACTTCGTTTAGTTTTGCCATTTGACTTTGGAATCTCTTTCTATTTGCTCCTTTTTGTTGTTTCTCTTCTTGTTGTTGTTATGTACCATATCATAAAATTCTGCCAAAGTAGTAGATGACTAATAACTAAATTTACTTCGTCAGCTGTTATGAAAAGTGTGAAATGAAGGAGGAAACAAATATGAATAGTTGGATTTGGGAGATTGCAGAAAACAGTTGAATGTTTCAAAGTCATTTTACCAAACCCAAAGCTGAGATACACGTGACCCACACTGCTCACACACTCTTTTGACCTTTGAGCTTAATCATGGACCACCAATCTTCTCTTCTTTCCAAGTCCACTTCATTTCATTTGCTGACCTCATCTCCATTCTCATTTCTCCTCCCAAAATATCACAAATCCTTTTGTAACTTGTTATGTCTTTCACTTTCAACACAGAGACAGATCCAAGATGCATTCACAAGGAACCCCCCTCTTTTAATAATCCCTAAATGAGATATAATGTTACTATAATGGCAAAAATATCACCTTTTCTAATACACAAAGCATGCAACATTAGAACAGAGCAAAAAGGATTTTGATTAGCTACTCTGTTCTGACTTCATAAAGATTTTCCACAGATACAAATATTGTTGATCCCTTGCTAACATGTTTGATCTTGAACCTTTGATTCACTGAGACTCAGAGTCAAGATTCGTCATCGGCTGCCTCTGCAGCTGAAATCTCAGAATCAAGTTTGCTCATTAGATTCTCTGTCACATGCTTGGCCACAGAGATCATGTCAAGGATGACGCTTGGGTCTAAGCCAGACCCGCCTCGTTTGGTTAACCCACATATATGGCCTGCCCGATTCACAGATATCGATACAGCTGAGCTCATCTGAGACTCCTCTTCTGCTGTTGCATCAACTATGTAATGCGTTCCCACCTGCAAAAACCAAGGACATGCATTTTACATGGATAGTAAAAGATTAGTGAAATGTACATAAGAAGATGTCAATGTGAATCAAGAAAATTGAGATTCAATTACTTTTGTTAACGTGACTATGACCGGGACACTGGAAGTGTCAAATTGTAGATACTCCTCGTCGCTGATGTCAATCTCTGGTTGCTCATCATCTGCTACTTCAGCTGAAACATTGACTTTTGGGATGGCCGTGTTGGTTAAAGCAGCCTGCAGGAGCATAGTCAACAAGTGCATCAAAGCATGTGATCAGCCTCGAGGAAAGATGACTTTTGGGTTGCTTAAACTATCAATTTGCAACATATCGTAAAGCTACTAAAACCAATAACAAGACATATACATTGAGCTCATCTATATACACTTCACTAAAGACCCGTTCCCTTTCTTTTTTCTATATTCTCTGGACTTTCCTTTCTCATGATCCTGACTGATGGGTATGATTTACTCACTACCATTCGCAACTAAAACCTAGGGCTAAGGGTCCAGAGAGAAAACTAAACACATCACAAGAATTACCTTAATGGCAGCACCCAGGGCATCCAATAGATTCCCATCCGAACTAATGACTAGGCCATCAATATAAAGGTCCCAGCAAACTTTTCCTTCTTTGATTAAAAGCGAAGATAAATTTATTCCAGCTCCTGATACCAAAAATGAATTGCTATTAAACATTACAAACTGAAACCGTAACATTGTGCAGGCAAAAAAAACATTGCATAAACATGATTGCAGACCTGCTCCACTTTTGCCACCCAGAAGACATCTTTGAAGAGCCAAAGCAAGCTCAGAAGACAATTCCTCACCTCCTCTCCCCTACGCAACAATATGTCACAAAGAATTAGCCGCCTAAAGACTTCACACCGTAGAATTTAGGATATTCCGAAGAAAAGTTATAACAACCAAAATCTCAAGTTGAACAATTCCAATAGTAAGAGAAACACCAAGAGAACGATAGAACAGATGTGACAAGTGCTAGATAGAACAAAAACCAGGTGATATCATAGAAAAGCTCACCCCAAATGTCGGTTCAGCTGTTGGACTGCAATCAATGAAAACTGCAACCTTTCCTTTATCGGGTTGGAGTGAGCTTGGCCTCCCAATTTCAGCCTGCAAATACAAAAGATTACTGGGTAGAGTAGCACTTGTCATTCAACAATAGAACAGTAGCAGAGAGACCAAAGGAAGTACCTTTACACTAGCAATCACATCGGTTCCACCTATCTTAACTCTCGCTGAACCATTAGCCTAGAGCCAACAAAAACAAGAGAAGAAACGTATCTGTCAAATAACTGGGGAGCAACAATGAGAAGCGGACGAGCTCTAGGAGATTACATTACCTGCGGAATAACACCGGTTTCAACGTAGATAGGACGGTAAGTCAATCTTTTCCGACCATCAGTTCGAAGATCTTGAGCAATCCCACCTTTAACAAAATGTTGTTCCCCAAGAGAAAGCCCCACCATAATTACTACACAGAGATCAACACAACATCGATTCCAGAAAACGAATTAGATCAACTGCTGAAGAATTTCACCCGGAACTTCAAGGCTCACGGATTGGTGCTAGGGTTTAAGAGACAGCTCAAACAAAGTAGACATTTTATACAGCACAATCAAAACCCATTAAACTTATTTACCTTCCCGGAGAATTCAATAGAAGACACAACTCTGAAGTTTTCCGGTGACCGTCGCGGCAACTTTGGATTGGTTAGGTTAAGAGACGCGACAACAGACAACTGCCGTAGGGTTTAAAGATGGCGTGAACTTAATTATTGACAATTGATAAGGGTAATTTCGTCATTTACCGACTTACCATTTTTTGCTTTTAGCGTTTGCTCTTCTTCTGGGTTCTTCAATCTGCCGGGAAGAAAGTGCGAGCTTGGTGCCGATGGGTCGTTCGAAATTAGCTTCTCGTCCTGCTGAAGAAGACCTGAATACAGGGTTCGTATAAAGTTTCGTTCTTTGTCCATTTTAGCTCGAAGTCGTCTAGGGTTTTCTCTGCTCAATTACTTGTCTTTGCGAAAACATTTCAATCTCTGGTAATCCACTTAGCTGTGTTTGATTATCTGAAGTGGAGTTCTTTTGGTACTTGTGGCTGTTTCAGAAAATCGAAAAGGAAAAAGATATCTTCGGGTCCTGAGAATGCAGGGGCTTCAGTTTCCACCGGTAGGTTTCCGTTTACTTGAGCGATTAGATGTGATGCTGATGTGCCTAAGTTCTTATAATTTTGCTGCGGATAGATATGCATTGATGTATCAAGCTGCCTTCGCCAAAAGTTCTTACATTTTTGGATGTTTCAAAAAGTTCTTACAGTATATTCATTACCGATATATTGTAGGAAGTGAAGCTGGGAATGAGAGGAAAGCTGGCTTTTATTGTTGTAACTATTGCGATAAAGATCTGTCTGGTTTGGTTCGTTTCAAATGTGCTGTTTGTATGGACTTTGACCTTTGTGTGGAATGCTTTTCTGTCGGCGTTGAACTTAATCGTCACAAGAACAGTCACCCATATCGGGTTATGGTTAGTTTCCAACGCCGAGTAGTATATTTGAAATCTATTGAACGCTCTGTCAGCTGAGTAGTAATTAGATAGTGATTGTGTTTTAAACAAAGAAAATGTGTCTATGGTTATATTTTTGTTTGTATTGAATCTACCCTTCTGTTTGACAGGACAATTTGTCTTTTCCTCTTGTTACTTCTGATTGGAATGCCGATGAAGAGATACTCCTTCTTGAGGTAATCATTAATCGTTTCTAATTTCATTTTCTTCTGATTGTACTCTCCCATGTCTATATAGAGATTCCATCTGACTATTGGGAAGTGTATTTACTGTATTAGGCCATTGCCACATACGGGTTTGGCAATTGGAAAGAAGTTGCAGACCATGTTGGCAGTAAGACAAATACAGAATGTATTGATCACTTCAATTCTGCTTACATGCAGTCACCATGCTTTCCACTTCCGGTAACGATTGATGAAAACACATGATCGTCAGATAGTTGACCCTAGCTTGTTTACTTACTCAAGCTCCCCACTCTGTAGGACTTGTCCCATACAATTGGAAAGAGCAAAGAGGAGCTGCTTGCTATGAGTAAAGAGAGTGCAGTCAGAACAGGTCAGCTTTGAATCTATTAGTGGGTTTTTCTTGTTGATTTGGGACTCGTTTATTAACCTTTACTGAAAAAAGGAGGACACTGTGCTCATTTTACGGTATGTCACAGAATTACCTGCACTTGTGAGGCTATCTCCAAAAGAAGAGTTGCCTATGTCAGCTGAAATCAAGTATATACCTATGCTTGTAACAATGGTTTCCCTACGTGTACAATGTTGAATGCTCCTTTTTTTAAATACTTTTATGTTTCAATGGGCAGACACGAAGCTTCAGGGAAGGACAATGCAATAGATCCACCTTTGCCTGCCTTAGCTGGAGGTATGTGACATTTCTTATGAATGCTTTTATCTATACTAAATTGTAGACGTTATTTGCTCTTAGATTTATGGCTAAGGAGTAAGGTCGCAAATCATCCGTCTTTCGTACTTTGACCTCAAATATTATTTCTTCCATGGTTCCAAATGTAAAGTAATGCTTTTTTTGGACAGTCAAGAAGAAAGTCAATGTACCGCAGGCTAAGGACATCAAGTTGGAAGGTTTGTATATACTGGAACAAGTTTGTATGCAAAGTGATATTTGAAGGGAACCAAAACTAAATGTATTTACAAAAAAAAAAAAAAAAAAAAAAAAAAAACTAAAGCTAGTTAACGGCCCTTGTGTCTCAGCTGCAAAACAACAATCTGACAGGAGTGTCGGGGAGAAGAAACTCAGACTTCCTGGAGAGAAAGTTCCATTAGTAACAGAGTTGTATGGTTACAATCTAAAGAGGGAAGAATTTGAGATCGAACATGACAACGATGCTGAGCAACTGCTCGCAGACATGGAATTTAAGGATTCTGACACGGATGCTGAGCGTGAGCAGAAGCTGCAGGTGCTTCATATTTACTCGAAAAGGTACACTAGTCACAGGTACAAAAATTGTTAATCCGTAGAAGTTTTTTCATAAGCCAATGCTACAGCCAAGATTGTGCCTTGACTTTGTTGGCAGGCTTGATGAGAGGAAGCGGAGGAAGGAATTCGTTCTGGAAAGAAACTTGTTGTACCCTGATCAATATGAGATGAGCCTTTCAGCAGAGGAGAGAAAAATATATAAAAGTTGTAAAGTCTTTGCGCGGTTCCACTCCAAAGAAGAGCACAAGGAACTGATTAAGAAAGTCATTGAGGAGCACCAAATTCTCAGAAGAATCCAGGATCTTCAGGTTTGATGCTTATAATTTTACCAAGGTTGAGAACTGGATTACAAACTCAATTAGGTGGGAACATTAAGTTAACCTTCTAATAAATGTTGTAGGAAGCTAGAACTGCTGGTTGTAGGACAACATCAGAAGCAAATAGATTTATAGAAGAGAAGAGAAAGAAGGAAGCTGAAGAAAGTGTGCTGCTGCGACTAAACCATGGTGCACCAGGCAGTATAGCCGGTAAAACATTAAAAAGTCCAAGAGGGTTACCCAGAAATTTGCAGCCCTTTGGTTCTGACTCACTGCCAAAGGTCACACCTCCAATAATATATAGCGGTTTGGACACTTGGGATGTTGATGGTCTCCTTGGAGCTGACTTGCTCTCTGAGACCGTATGAACAATAATTTTCCAACTTAGTGCTTCTCATCTTATTTGTGATTTTGTTGATTTCTTGACATTATTCCCATGGTTTGAGAGATTGAAAGTATGTGCTTTGTGCAGGAAAAAAAGATGTGCAATGAGACCAGAATACTGCCTGTACACTATTTGAAGATGTTGGATATCTTAACAAGCGAAATAATGAAGGGGCAGATAAAGAAAAAGTCTGATGCTTATAGCTTCTTCAAAGTAGAGCCGAGTAAAGTAGACAGAGTATATGATATGCTGGTTCAGAAGGAAATAGGTGAGTCAACATGACTCATTAGCTTCATGGTCCTAACATATATTAGCCATGTACATATATAGGAAGGTGATGTTGGTTTTGGTTCCACATCTTATTAGTTTTGACAACTTGACATTGTCTGATTGTTATCTCCTTCGAAGGCTGTTTCAGATCTTTTGATACAACGCTTAAATATAATGCCAAATATAATGCCTAAAGTCATCAGTTTTTGTTATATAAGATCAAAAAAGTCTGAGACATTGCATCAGTTTTCAGGAAAAACCTACTCAATAAAACCAGATTCTTGGGTGACAAGAAACTACACTGAATCAGATTGCCATCCAACAACAGATAGAAATCCAAAAACGCAATCTACATCAAGCTGGTTATTAAACCAAAAGCTTCACCATTTCTTAAGTTTGCCACCTTTGATTCCTCTCCCAAGGCTTGAAAACACCATCATGAGAAACATATTTCAAGTACAAGAAAAACCCACGCAGCAACTTCAATGCTCTTGCCTTATCAACACCAACCACAAGCTTGTATTCTTTTTCGAAATCAGGGAAACTTTCTAGATAAGATTGTCCAAGTTCGTCAGTCTCATAATCAGATTCTCTCCCCTTTCGTAGTTCTCTGCATCGAGTCATTTTTCTATGGATTGATGCGTAACGATGGAGCAGCTTCAACTCTCCTTCGTCATATGGTTTTTGCAGAACATCCATTAGCTCCTTTCTAAACCAACTACTACTACTTTCATCCTCTTTACTTCCTTCATCTAGATCAACAACTTTCTTGGACACCACAAACGGTGTACACTCCTCTCCATCCAAAAACGGAGAATCACCCATGGCAATTATATAATCAGACCAATCATGATCTGGTTCAACCTTCACTTCTACTAGTGGATCCATTTCAGGGACCATTGTCGATTCTTTTAGAGTATCCAAATCAGACTGATCTTTCTGAAGATTTTCCATTGGCTCAGTTGTCGAAGAATCTCTAAGAGAATCTACAAGCCATGTGAGGTACCTCATGTAATTCTTATCCACAACCGCTTCACTCCCATCCTCATTCTTATTCTTTCGCCCTACAAAAACTTCTTTGCTCCTTGAAGAAGTCTCAACTACATCATTAACCTCTGTAACTCTATTTACTCGCTCCATGCGAACAACCTCTGAAGTCTCTGCAGCAACCCTCATGTTGTCTTGTTGAATGTCTTCTTCAGTTCTTCTAACCAATGGAACATCTCTTCTTAAAGTATCAGCCCCGAGCTCGTCATGTTTCCTCTTTCTCCCTTGAGAAACTGTGTGGTCTCGTTGAATGTCTTCTTCAGTTTCAACCAATGGAACATCTCTTCTTAAAGCATCGTCATTATTCCTCTTTCTCCCTTGAGAAACTGTGTGGTCTCGTTGACTGTCTTCTTGAGTTCCAACCAATGGAACATCATCTCTTCTTAAAGTCTCAGCCTTTGACTCTGAAAGTTTCCTAACTTTGTTGTCTCGTTGTTGAGTGTCTTCTTGTTGGGTTTTGAGTGAAGGAACATCTCTTGAAGTCTTTGCAGCTTCTAACTCAGCAATTCTCCGCTTTCTTCGTTCAGCAACTCTGTTGTCTCGTTGAATGTTTTCTCGGATATTAACTCTTTCAGCCTTAAACCCAACAGTTCTCCTCTTGCCCTGTTGATGAACTCTGTTCTTCACTGGATTCTCATTCCCAAGCTTTGGTCTCTTTGAATCACAAGAAAAGATCTTTAATCTACGAATGTCAGATTCTCCATTGTCAACCTCAAGGCGAGGAGTTAAACTGTCATTATCACCTCTTCGAAGATGATCCAAGAACACGTTGTAGTCCTTATCAATCATAAGATCATCATTATCATCTTCGTCAAGACAGATAATTGGAACATCGATTTTTTCAGACATTGGACGAGTACGCATAAACCTTCTATATCCATCGTCAATCACAATGGCTTTCTTCTTCATCCCAATCAACACTCTATTAAAAAGTCGAATAAACTAGAAAAGATTAGGGAATAATTATGTAAGGAAAACCCTAAAACGATCAATCGGTTGTCGTTAAAACCATAATGCAGAAAGAAACCATGAAAGCTAGAAAGACAAAACAAAGAAAGATAAAAAGATGAAGAAACGTAGAATTCGAGCATACCGTTTTAGAGCGACTCTGCTTGTGATTTGTTAACTCAAAAGAGCGAGAGAGAGAGAGAAATAAGAAAAGAAACGGAAGAAGAATATATATTAGGGTTTAAATGCAGATCAAATTTAGCTTCAACAATTAAGGAAATTTTGGAGAGAAAGAGAAATATGAAGAGACGTGAGATAAGACTTGAGAGAGGCTACCAATGCTATGAATTATTATGACTTATCAGACAGACCTAAGGAAAATCTTTCTTATCAGCAATCAGAATCCACGTCATATAGTATATTTTTCTCACCTCAAGATTTAGAAATATCGCATATCTAAATAAATAGTTAAATAACAATAATTCGATATACGGAAAATAATTGTATTTTATGATTTGTGGGAGAGTGGGCAAGAGCATGCATTGGGTAGTTAGTTTGGTGAGAACGCTTGAGTATTAAATATAGGTTGGTGTGTGTCGTGCGAGGACCAAACCCCAAACCGAGATATTTTGAATAATACTAGTACAACTGTTTGCAAGATAAACCAATGTACCTTTTGATGGATTGGTTGGTATTCGGAAAATAAAACTCTTATTTCACTGTTTTTGCCCATATAGAGAGATATAGAGAGATTATTGCAAGTAAATACGTATCAACAACTACCCTGACAGACAGAGTGGGGTAATGAATTGAATTCAAATCTTCCATTAATGGTCTCATCCTTAGTTGTGTATCTCTATGCTTTAGTTGCTAAATACTTACCCATTAAGCCGGTGTTATTCGTTATCTTCTTTAATGAGAATTTCGATTATTTAGCTACATATTACTGAGGAAAGTGATACACAACACAGCTTCATAGTTCATCCAATCGAAAAGGAAAAAAAAAAAAAAAAACGACACTTCACACAGCCTCTCACCAGCAGGGAAACCAAACCATACTTAGTTACCAATCACTTGAGTAGTGTTGGGAGTGAAGAAGAAGATATCATCAAGCCTATCATTGCTCGGTGAGTTCCCGCCATAAACCAACAGACCTTGCTTACCATCTCGTGATCCAGCCGCAAACGCGCACCATCCTCTAGGCCCCGGATGCTCCACTGATCCAACCCCATCCTCCCATTTCCTCCATTCCAACGTCTCTGTATCAAGCCCATAAGCATCACCTGTGAAACATCCTGCTCCCATATGCCCCAAATCGCTAGGATCGATCTCCCCTCCAGATATTAGTATCTGTTTCCCAACAACCGCAGTCGAAAACACACTTCTTGCTGACGGTTTTTCGCCTTTTGTCTCAGCTTCTTTCCATTCTCCTGTAGCTATGTCGAAAACGTGAACATCATCCGCTTCTTCTCCTGCGAATCCATATACCACCCAGATCTTTCCTTGAACAACCTCTAGCCCTGGACCGCCTCTTCCTCTACAGGCTTCTCCCGGAGACGGGAACTTAATCCATTTCTGATCAACAACATTGTAAGCCCATAAATCGTTGAGACGTCCTTCAACTCCGCATCCACCAAACACATACACGTTCTGAGAATCAGCAGTGATCGAGTGGTAGCTTCGGTTTTGTGGACCGGTTTCCCCTAAAGAGAGTAGTTTCCACTGGTTGGTCGAAGTGTTGAAACAGTAGAGCTCGTTGAGCTCCTGGTGAGTCGAATCCCGGCCACCAAAGAAATAGATGATGGGTCCGACTGCAGCCATGGCTACACCTACTCTAGGAGGAGGAGCATCCCCAGAAGCTTCCTGGATCGACCATGTCTCAGTCTCGAGGTCGAAAACGTAGAGATTGTTGTCAACGGGATCACGCGGTTGGAACTCGCCGCCAAAGGCATACATTTTGTTTCCCACAAGAGCTATGGCGTGAGAGCTTCTTGCTCCTGGTCCGGTTCCTTTCTGTTTAAGCTGGTCACAAAGAAGACAAAAGATAAATAACTCAAAACACAAAATATTATAATCATTACCAAATTAAACCCTCGATCGTATAAGCTGAAATCAATCAGAAAGAAACAAAGAGTTGAGTCAGCATGCAAATACTCAATTGGATAATGGCAAAGTCATAGTCCACTAATCCAATAGTAGTCTAAACAATTTAAGATGTGATTATGAGTACAAAATTAAACCCTCCTCCATCAGTAAAATTATCATTCAACATGACATGAACAACTCAATAAAGACTAACTCGAATCCAAAATTGATCAGAGAAAGCATAAACTAGGAGATTAATTGTAGAACCAAACTGATTATGAACCTAAAAGTATACTATTATTCACATGAGCAATTTAACAGAGAAGTTGGACGAAATTACAGAGAATTAGTCAGATTCCGAAACGAAATTAGAATTTCAAAAGCCGCAAGTCTCGTACGATTCAATAAATCCGAAAACCGGAGACTCGTAATATGCGATCAAACCAGATTTCGTCTCTAGGAGAAGAACAAAGGCCAGAAATCTGAGCGGAGAAAGAGAGATGAGACCTGAACCCATTTGCCTTGCATTGGAGTCGCTGCCATCGTTGCTCTGCTGCAATTACCACTCAAGGAGACTCGTTTTAGGACCAATTTTGTGTGTGAGGTTTCTCCTCTTTCTCTCGGTCTCTGTCTCTATTTAAGGCCCAAAGAGAGGGAAAAAGGAATCTTTTTTTCTTTCTTTTTTCTTTTCCATAGTACGTTAATGTTCTTTTACTATCAAAAAGCATTTGTCTTATACTAAAACAAATGCATAGTAAAACTTTAATGAAATTGACCCAACAAAAAAAAAAGAAAACGGCATGGAATTTGCAGTGTCTAAACTAATAACGTATTTTCCTAAATCCGTAAATTTTTCCGAAACCAAACAAGCATAAATTTTGTTATCTAATGTTATAGAACTGCAACTTAAAGAATTTAAATATTAATACGAAGTCCATATTCTTCAGTTGGCCCACCATCACACATTGCAATAATTTAGTGAAATTTGTTGACAAGAAGAGTTTATTTACTCCAATTTTTTTAAGTTTATGAAAGCAAAAAGGAAGACCAACGGTCCAACATAATGCTGCTGACACATAACAGATTCATTTCGAGAGAGAAGAATCCGAAGCTAGGGTTTCTTCCTTCCACCCCGATTTCTTCCAAACTCTTACCAGCGTAAGTTTCATCTGACATGCAATTGAATTCGAGCCCACCGACTATAAATTTTTCCTTGGTTTTATCAATTCTTCACTTGAATTCGACTCTATTGTGCCATTTCTCTCCCTATAATTCTTGGAATTTGTAGTCGAATTCGTGGAACTGATCCTTTGTGTATTGTAATCTTTAATCTTTGAATTAGGTCTTTCTCTCTAAGAAGATGGTAAACAAGAAACGGCTTTCTTCTAAAGATGATTTCAGCGACACCTATACATGTGACTTAGAATTCCGAATCACCAACTCCAACGGCTTCCTTCCTCCTGACTCGCCGGAGAAATTGGACTCCAGCCACGCTGCTTTCGATGCCGCCGAACAAACACCAAGCATGTTAATGAAGAGTAGAAAGAAACGCAAGGTAAATTGGTTTCACCATCTCTATGTATCTTTGTTATTGTGCTCTAGTTTCCTCATCAATCCTCTGATAGACACATTGAGTTAGTTTGTTTGCGCAACTTGCTTGATTACCCAAAGGTAACTATGACTTCTAATTTGTATGTACTACTGTTTTTCCATTAGGTTCGGGCTTTCGTGGAACAGGAGGTGGTGACAAACGTTGAACCCGAGAACGATGATGGATCAGCAAAAGGCGACTCCTTTGACAAATTGCCTTCTGAAAATGTTGACAAAACTATAGAGATTGGGACTGGTGGGAAGGAGAGTGAGGTAGTTGAAGCAGTGACAAACGGTGAACCTGAGAATCATGATGGATCAGCAAAAAAAGGCGACTCTTGTGACGACAAATTACCCTCTGACAATGTTGACAAACATATGGAGAATGAGGCTAACGGGAAGGAGAGTGAGGAAGATGGTGCTGCTGATGAGCTGTGCGCTTTACAGGACGCGCTTGAGAGGACACTGTTTCAACATTTAGGTAAGTATGCACAGAAGCAGATGCTTGAGAAGTTGAGGAGCCTTAGAGCTAAGGACCGGAAAGAGTTGAGCGGTGAATGGAAGTCATTACTTGCTCAGGAGGCGCTACTGAAGAGCAAGAAACATTCGTTTTCCGCCAAACTCGCAAATGCAACATTTCATAATTAGGTAGAAGAAACTAGAGCGAATGGTTTTGTGATCAGAGCAATAGTAGTTGGGTGGGTGAAACTTGGTTTTTAGAGCTGCCTATGATCCGATCATGTAGAAAAGCTAAAATATGTGGTGAGGCGTCACAAGTTTTGTTAGATATGTTACTATGTAGTTTCGGCTTTTTGCAGAATGAACCATTGCTGTCTGTTTTGCTTACTCTTAAAAAAGTTTACCGTTTAATTTGGTTAAACCCCTTTTAGTTAAATATAGGGTCTTTAATTCAATTGTTATGCTCAACACTCTCTGTCGAACTGTCCACACAAAAAACGTGAGAAGGAGAAGCTGGACACGCATCATCCATAACTCTTGTTTTCTTAATTTTGGCACTAAAAGTTACAAAGATTACTTTCCTTGTCCGATCAAATCCAAAAAATTTCCTATTAACGCACAAAATTTCAATATTGATTTAAGTAGGAAGGTGGAAAATTCGGTGGAACAATACACGTCTCATAAGGACGACACCATTACGCAACTTAGTCCTCTTTCTCTCTCTGTGGACTCTGTTCCAAGAAAATCCTCTACTTAATAATAGCTGATTTTACAGATTCCTGCAACGAAATTTCTGGGTCTGGGTTGATCTCTGTCTCACCAGTCAACCCAATTCAGGACTCTCATAAAGGTTCCATTTTTCTTAATTTCTACTCCTGTTTTTTTTTTGTTTTCTTTTTCTTAATTATTTTTGGTTGGAATCAGAAAAAGTTTGGGTTTTTAACCTTTGTACAGTGAATTTCCTCTTGGCATAGTATGTGTTATTTATTGCTCTCTGATTGTTTATATCTTTTTCAATTTTCATGGCTCTGAGAATCGTTGTGATTCTCTTATCAATTCAATTATCTATCGGAGTCGTTGAATAGAGTTTTATCACTATAGCTTTTGTATTCTTCAGTCTTTTAATAGTTTAGATTCTTTTAATAGTTTAGATTGTACAAATGATGCTTGCCGCATAATTGTCTCATATGCTTTCCGATTTTATGAATCCAGCTGATTTTCTTATTGAATGTTTGTCTATTCAACTGGTTTCTTGTATATTAGGTGGAAATGGCGGCGTTATTAGCTTCTCAGAGCTGCTGCTATGGTGGTGAGACCGCAAGAATCACCAAAGCTATTGGTTTCAGTGGCTCTGTAGAGAATCCTTTCACTGGGGAAGCTACTCAGTGTTATGGCAGCAAGTCCAAGAGATTTCGTATTGAGATGAGACAGTCCGAATCGCCCTCAAAGGTTGGAATCAATGGACGTTCAGTCAAAATGGTTCCTGCGACTGAGGTGATGAAAAGGAAAGATGGTGTGAATAATGTGAATGGATCAGCGGTGAAAGGTGTTAATGGAGCGAGTTTGGTTAGTAGTAGAAACATTAATGGTGCGCCGTCAACCTTGGTTAAGGCACCTAAGAAAACAACAGAATCTTACCTTCCTCCACCGGTTGAAGGAGTTAGGGTTCTTCCTTCTGACGAAGGATTTAGCTGGGCTGATGAGAATTACAGCTCACTTCAACGCAGTATTGATGTTTGGTCGTTTGTTATTTCCCTGAGGATCCGTGTCTTGTTCGACAATGCAAAATGGGCTTATGTTGGAGGATTCACAGAAGAAAAACAGGTAAACCTTTCATCATTTCACTCTAATTTGATTGATTGATTTGTTGGATCGTCCCTCTAGTCACCAGTTTTGTTGGTCCTGATTCTTATCAATTTCACCTGTTGTTATATAATCAGAAAAGCCGAAGAAGAGAAACAGCTTCATGGTTGAGAGAGAGTGTATTGCAGCTTGGTCCAACGTTTATCAAACTGGGACAGTTGTCTTCAACTAGGTCGGACTTGTTTCCACGCGAATTCGTGGATGAGCTTTCCAAATTGCAGGTACTTTGCTATTTCTTTATTCATGGTTTTGAATTTATGCATTAGATTAGATTCTCTTTGGCTTTTCTTACTGTTCTTTTAAACTGGTTTTCAGGACAGAGTCCCAGCTTTTTCTCCAGAGAAAGCAAAGCGCTTCATTGAGGCTGAACTTGGGGCTCCTATTAGTGTAATGTTTAAAGAATTTGAAGAGCAACCCATAGCTGCAGCTAGCCTTGGTCAGGTATCTGATACTTAGCCACACCCTCAAGCACGCCCACTCGCTCATCGTTTTCTTTGCATTTCATCTACATATTGATGTTTGTATCATAATTTTTCAAAGTGTATTCCTTTAGGTACACAGAGCTGTGTTGCACAATGGCGAGAAAGTGGTAGTAAAAGTACAAAGACCCGGACTAAAGAAACTTTTCGATATCGATTTACGTATGTAGTAACAACTTTTGAGTTATATATAGAATACTTGCATGGATGTTTGAGAATTGCTGAAAATGGCTTAACTTTCCTATCAGGAAATCTGAAGCTGATTGCCGAGTATTTCCAGAAAAGTGAATCATTTGGTACAAACGATTGGGTTGGTATTTATGAAGAATGTGCCTCGTAAGTATTTTCCCAAGATGTAATTATAACTTATATACCTAGAAACTTGTGGCTCCAGACTATGTAGGACTGATCTTTCCTTTGGTTTCAGAATTTTGTATAAAGAGATTGACTACATAAACGAAGCTAAGAACGCTGACAGATTCCGGAGAGACTTCCGGAATATAAACTGGGTCCGCGTACCTGTAAGTTTTATTTGCTAAACCAAAACCCATGAGATAAGTTCTTGTATAGTTGATGAAACTCATTCTGGTTATCTTGTTTTCATTTGTAGTTGGTTTATTGGGATTACTCTGCCATGAAGGTCTTGACTTTGGAGTATGTACCAGGTTCGTGTTGAAACTACCCAATATACTGGTTCGTTTGATAAAGCATGTGGCGGTATAAACACTCTTATTGATTTCTGTGATTAGGTGTTAAGATCAACAACTTGGACGCCTTAGCTGCACGGGGTTTTAACCGTTCTAGAATCGCATCACGGGCCATTGAAGCTTATCTTATCCAGGTGAATAACAATATAGCAAAACAGTTATTGAAGTCCACGTTTTTTTTCATGGTTGAAACTTATGTTCATGTTTTGGCTGTTCTAGATACTCAAAACTGGCTTCTTTCATGCGGATCCACACCCGGGAAACCTTGCTATTGATGTAGATGAATCGATCATCTACTATGACTTCGGCATGATGGGAGAGATCAAAACATTTACTCGGAAGAGATTGCTTGATCTCTTCTATTCTGTTTATGAAAAAGATGCAAAAAAGGTAAATTATTTCTTGCAAGGATTAAATCTCAAACTGAGAAATAAGAAACTAACTAAATGTTCTTACAGGTCATGCAAAACCTTATAGACCTTGAAGCACTTCAACCCACTGGAGATCTTTCATCGGTAACCTTACAGTCTCACTCATTTTTTAATGCGAAGTTTACATATGTAATCTCATTGCAACTTTGTACGTGTTTGTGATAGGTAAGGAGATCTGTTCAGTTTTTCTTGGACAACCTATTAAGCCAATCACCAGATCAGCAACAGACTTTGGCAGCTATTGGAGAGGTACCGATCAAAACTGTGGCTGAAAATGCTGAGCTCTTTCTCAAGATAGTCATGGTAGTTAGTAGTTACTATGTGGTTCTTAAATTAAAAAATTCCTCATTTCTGTGGCAGGATCTGTTTGCAATTTCCCAAGATCAGCCATTCCGTTTCCCATCAACTTTCACATTTGTCATCAGAGCATTTTCCACACTTGAAGGTGCCTATTCATCTGTTCTTTATCTTCTTTTTGTAAAATCTTACACAAGTGTCACCATTCATGCTTTTGATTTTGCAGGTATTGGTTACATCCTAGATCCAGATTTTTCCTTTGTGAAGGTTGCGGCTCCTTATGCGCAGGTTCTTTCCAAATATTTTGCAATGGCCTCTCTACTCTTTTCTATCATTGTGTCAATGCTCATGAATATCAACAAAAACAGGAACTCCTGGATTTAAAACAAAGGCAGCGCTCGGGAACTCAGCTTGTCCAAGAAATAAGAAAGCAGGCTGACGATGTAATGCTTTCGCTCGTATTTTATTTCATTTCTCTGTTTTCTCTTCTTTTGTTTCTATTTTTACTAAATTCAACTTTAAAACCTGTACAGGCCAGGTCTTCTACTCTGTCTATGCCATATCGAGTGCAGCGAATAGAAGAGTTTGTGAAAGAACTCGATTCAGGCGATCTAAAACTACGTGTTCGGGTTCTTGAGGTAAAGCAGCTTTGTCATGGTCTAATCACCCTTTAGAACTGGTATTAGAGTAAGTATGCTTTGTCATGGTTTTGTAAAGTAAGAGATACCCACTGTGGATTTTGTTTGTTCGTATTGGTTCAGTCGGAAAGAGCAGCCCGGAAAGCGACAATACTGCAGATGGCGACAATGTATACAGTTCTTGGAGGAACTCTGCTTAATATTGGGGTTACATTTAGCAACCAAGGAAGTCAGCTTGTTGCTAATGGATCCTTCATTGGAGCTGGTATGGAAGCCGTTTACACAAGTGCATATAGATATATATGCAAAGTATATTTCAGGTCTATGCCAAGGGTAAATAAGCTTGATAAGCATTTTTTTGGTGCAGGGATATTCATGGCATTGGTACTGAGGTCTATGCAAAGGGTAAATAAGCTTGATAAGTTTGAGAAGATGATATGATGATGACTGGTGGATAGTTTATTCTTTTGAAGCTCCAAACATCAGAAATAGAATTGTGATGTATAGCCGTATAGGTATAGCATGTATCTTTTAGCTCCCATATTCATAATATTTATAAATTGTATAAAAACACTGTTATTCTCAACAATAAAAGGAAGGTCAAAGATATATATGAGACTGAGTTTCACTAGAAAGTACACAACTTTTATTCCTCAACTATAAATGTATACAACTCTTATCTACTCTGCGTATTTCTGAATCAAAGGGAATCCACTGGAACTATAGATTAATCTTCAAAATACAAACAAGTCTGCACCAAAGCCTAGCAGGGGAACTTATACAGAAGACAGTGCTCAAGGTTTCTGACCAAGAAGCCATGGCTGGAAGAAGAGATGGCTGTGAGCAATCTCGATGAGTTCACGTGGGTCATTCATTGTCTCATCTCTCAGCGCCTCAAGAATTGCCTCACACGAGAACTCTCTAAAGACATCATCAAAGTGTAAATCATGATTATGAATGAGGTCCAAGTTGATAAGTTATTACAAGTTAAGGAAATGAGAATACCTTGTTATAAGAATTCTGTAGAGCATCTTTAAGATGGGACAGAGTTCAGCCGGAGTTACAGGCCTGCCCTCTTCGGGGTGTTGTAGACTTAAAGAGGATTGGTTCAACAACTCGAAAAATGCTTTCACCGCAGAAACCCCCTATGAAACATTACATCCAAAGCTCTTCATCATTAGCCTTTCATATAAATAATCTATGACCACCTATTTGGACCCTAATCGGTTGATGCTTATATACTGAACTAAAATATATAAATAACAATATAGTGTATGAAAGAATTTTTTACTTTCTCAGAGGCGTTTAGATTCAATCTCCTAAGTTCTTTACTTAACTTACTTTCTTTGAAATGTGCAACACTCTTTACTGTTTTATGCTATAACTGGATTTAGTGAAGATGAATTTAGAATATACGCAACAAAATTATAAGTAATTTTGCTATTACCCTCTTGGACACTTGCTATGGGGACTCAGATGAAAGTTACAAATTCGACAAGTTCTCAATATCAAACATACATAATTTAAGGCTAAATTAACACTTAAAACCGAAGTCATTGAGATATATGTAGTACCTGAATCATTCCCTTGCCTTTGATGCTGTCACCCATTTCAAGGCTAAGTTCTCCTTTTGCAAGTTTCTGGCCATACCACGCATTACGACCTTTTAGTAATGTTACATAGGTATCCGCGAGCAAAGGCCCTGCAAGTTTCTCTGGCTCCTTGGCCAATAAATGAGTAATAAAAATCATCTCTGAAGTACAATGCGCAAAGTATACTGATTTGCTGGTAGCACTTTCCTTAGTCAGTGTAGCCACCATTCCTGTGGAACACAAAAACGGCAAAACAAACACTGGTTTGTAAACTTTGACCTCTTATTACCCAGTTCCAGTATTTTATTTTGAATCACTATATTCAGATAACCATTTTACACCTCTGATCTTACCTGCTCCGATGGCATAAACATTCTTCAAGCCACCCATTACTTCATGAGTAATGAGGTCACTGTTATCCCACACTATGAAATGAGACTGCCTTAGAAACTTTCCCAAAGGCTTCCTCCATTTTTCAGACCCGCAAATCCGTGCATTGGCGTACTCTTTGTTGTATACCTCTGAAGCAATATTAGGTCCCCCAAGGTAGAGAATGTTCTCAAGAGGAATACCAGCTGCAAAGAGAATATGACAACCAAACTGTAAAATTTCGAATGACAACAACTACTGAGCATACACTTCAACACCAACACTTCAAAACTAGCCACCTATGCTGCTTAATGACACGATATACAATTAAGCAATCTGCTTAATAAAAATAGAAACTTTCCCTACATCAAGGAAAATAGTAAGTAAGATGATATCAAAAATATTATTCTAGCAAGCAGATAAAAGACAATGGGAAGTGAATTTACTCGCTCGATAGATCATTTGCGTAGGAGTAACGATACGAGGATGAGGCTCAAACTCTGCTTCCACACCTTTAGCCAAAGAGATAATAACAGGAGCATTAACCCTCTCTTTCCAATACTTGCTAATCTCATTGAACACCTGAAACGTCTCAGTTGATGGTAAACCATTGATGACAATATCAGCATCCCAAACAGCTTCTTGAAGATTAGTCACAACTTTCAAAGGACACAAAGGAGTCTCAATCATATTCAAGCAAAACCCATCTTTCAATATCTCATCCGCGTATAAAACCCTATCCCCTAATCTAGCTTCCACATACTTGAGATAAGCACACCGTCTTATCAACCTCCTCAACAATTCTTCCCTCGAATTAATGACTTCGAACAAATGTTCAGCTGTGCTTTTATCGATTGCTCTGCCTCCTCTTCTCCAGATTCTCACACTAACTTTGGCCCTAAACTTGCCGTAGTTTTCCTGCAACATTGCAATGAAAACGCTTCCCCAAGCACCAGCTCCTACACCGACGATCCTTAATGGATCATCATCAGCTTTGCCCATTACTCTACGAATCTCATCAAGCCTTTCTTCCACCAATCTGCTCGGAGCTGAATTCGTCTCCACTGTTTCCACCAAATGATCCATCATCAACAAAGCCTTATGGTTTCTCTTTTCAGTGACTCAATCGACTAAACAACACAGCAAGCTATGTACAAAATCGGAGTTCTTGTCGGATTTACCAATGCTTAAACTCTGACGACTTTTTCAGGAAAGTTTTTTTTTTTTTTTTTTTTTTTGCAGGAAACTTGTACGACTAAGAAAATGATAGCTGGCTTTATCTATCCACTCTGGGCCCATCTAACTTGAGTCTAGTGGCCACTTTTATAACCTTCTCTATAAGGGATCTTGAGTACTTTTGAGAGAATTCTTATTCAAAGCTTGAACATTTTGTTATTCTCTTTGTTTTAGGAATTTTTGTTTTAAGAAATCACAATCACTATTTCTCCATTGAAATCAAAACCTTAGCTTATGGAAAAGTTGTTTGTTAATAAAGAGAAAAAAAATTATAATCACGAGTGGATAATTTCTTGAACATGGGAGAAAGCAAATCTTCCAATGAGCTACGATCTGTCTGTAAAAAGATTTTAAGTAAAGATTCCCTTCCCTGGTACATTTTAAGGCAAAATAAGTTTCAAAGTCATAATAAAACTCAATACTTTTAGACACGAGACATGCCGAGTTTGCGTTCAAACAAGCGACGCAGAAGATACACTTGGAGAAGACTTGCCCCAATCAGTGCAAACGACTCGAACAAAGCTTTGTGTACTGCTCTTTTGCTCATGTTCTCGTTCACTGCACAAGGAACAAACCATATTCAAACTATCATTACTTGCACAAGTGAAAAAACAACAAATGTGGTTTTTAGAAAAAAAATGTTACCGATGGCTTGACGATCAGTCTGAGCCTCTAACCAATGTTGTTCAAATTGGATGTTGTAAAGAGCCTCCTCTAACTTTGATATTTGTTCCATCAAGGGAGTGAAATGCTCTGCACAAAACAATCTTCAGCTAAATAACTCATTACCAAACGAAACTGATAAAAAAACCAAACAGATAATCCTTACCGTCCTTTGCGTGTTGATCGTAGTACGCAAAGTGACCAAGCTGTACATCGAAGTCAATGGTTTCATGATAAGGAGACTTGTTAGTGAAACAGAATCGGTAAACCCCTTTCTTTTGGACAACAAAATCATGCTTTGCGCTTATCTGTTCCCTGAAGTCATGAATTTGTTCGCCTGTTGGGCCATGTATCTGTTCAAAATCAATCCAAAATATATCATCACCAACGGAACGATTATCTCATTCAACAGTACACAAGGAAATTAAAAGATATGTCATATTAGCCTTCAAAACAAAGCGGCGCTCCATACATTGTGTTAATTCCAAGGCCACCAAATTCATCATCTATATTGAGTAACAGTTACAGTACACAAGAGAATTGTAACAATAACAACAACCAAATTAGCCAGAGGGTGTTCAAAGAGTAACCAAATTCTTTATCAATATATGCTACAAATTATCTACCAACATACATAATTGATATCCAACAATGGCAATCCTAAGAATTGTCTACGAATACTTCTATTGATTTTGCAATAGAATGTAGAAAGGGTTCAATTAGAAAAGAGAAAAAGAAGTCATACCACAAGATCTACACCATCCTCGTTAAAGTGCCATTGAGAGTCAGACTTGATGACGACGAAAGAGACATGAAGCGTATCGCCTTCATATTCAGCCTTGTGGGAGAAACATTCTTCTCGGTCTATCACGAATCTAATCCCTAACGTAGCCTGGAAGCTCCATAAGAGCCCTAACAATACGATCGTAGCCTTCAAGCTCATCTGCCACAATAATTTCGAATTATATCAAATTTAATCGTTTAGAAGAAGTGTCGATTAGAGATTCCAAACCAAACCAAATTGAATTGTTCCAATTTCGATTCCTACGAGGTGATTAGGTTTGACACAGAGAGTGAGAGAGAGATTTTTTACCTTCTAATAGAGAAGCTAAAATCAGAGAATGATAGATTAGATCGATTGAAACTCGATCTGATCGATGAGTGTTAAGAAAATTCGGAGATTGATCGGAGAAGAAGACGGTGGAGAGAATTAGATGAGAAAGAGCGAGCTCGTTCAGAATCGGACACGAAGAAGCCAAAGCCTGTTTTGACTCAAAGGGCAGTTTCGTGACCCGACAAGATCATCAAACTATAAACGACGTCGCTTGCTCATTCTTTTTGGTTATTTGGTCAGCGGGCTTACGTGGCGTGATATCATTGGAGATAAAACATCTTTAAACCATTTAGATATTGCCACATCACATGCTGTCGAAACTGGAAACTCCATAAAATCAATACGTTTCATCAGGAAACTCCTTATATTTGACGTGTCTCATCAGATTACCTTGTTTGCCGTAAACCGGATTCAATCGGGATTTTTTTAGTTTCAGTTTTTTCAATTTCTGGATAATACAGTATTTAAAATAACATTGTTATAGATGTTTTGTAGTCAAATAAATTCTTAATTTTCAGAATATCAATTTTCTTTTCGAATCAGTTCTGATTCAGATACATTTGAATCATATCTTCGATTTTTTGGATCAAATTACGAAGAACGTGTTTCTAGCCTTACTCTGTCATGCGTTTCCTTC